CACAGGCATGGGCCACCACATCCATCTTGTAGCCAGTTTCCTATTACTGTCTGAGACCACCAGTTTGGGAGGCTTCGGTCCAAGGTCTGTCTGTTGTCCTTGTTACTTTGGAGTCTGGGACAAAGCACACGGGGCAGAAGAGAAGGCCGAGGTGCCTGAGTCTCGGTGACTGGAGTACTTCCTTCCCCATACTGAGTAATATTCGGGACTTCTGGTTGCCATGGTAGCGTTGGTGGGTGTTCATTTTTTACATAGTGCCCCTTCCCTTGATACATGCAATGTGGCCTCTGGAATAACCTGTTATTCCTAGAAGGCCTAGAGAATGTATGTGGGCCCCTCTCCTCTTTCCCTTGTGTTCATTCTGATGAATTAAGTACTTTGTGATAGTTTTAGTGTATGTATTTTCTGTGTTTTTATTTGTTTGTTTCTGTGGCTTTCTGAGACCGTTTTTGTCTATAGTTCTCGCCCAGAACTTGCTGAGCTTTGTAGTTTTACACAGGATTTTTCTTTTCTTTCTGTCTCTCTCTCTTTCTCTTGCTTTCTTGCTCTCTTATTTTCAGGCAAGGACTCTGTAGCCCTGGCTGTCCTGAAACTCACTATGGAGACCAGACTGGCCTCAAACTCAGAGATTCACCTGCCTGTGCTTCCTGAGTGCTGAAATTAAATGTGTACACCATTGCGGCTGGCTTGCACATGAAATATAAAATGCAATGCTTGTATTAATTTGTATTTTCTTCTTAAGTGTAATTATTGAATTATGTAATTTAAGTGGCATATATAAATGAAGATGTGTTTTATATTGACAGCTAGATTTTGATCAGAAAACAACACTTTGCTTCATTTCTTCCTTTCCTCCTCTCTCTCTCTCTCTCTCTTTCTTTCTCTGTGTGTGTGTGCACTCGAGTGTGGGCCTCACTTGTGTAACCCTCGAGACCCTCTGTCCTGGTGTACTCAACCTGTCCATCAGGGAGGGGCAGCAGCTTTCTGGGCACTGTGTTGCTGGCCAGGGCTTGCCCACGGTGTACCCTGCCCACAGTGTTCCCCCCACTCTTCTCCAGTTCCTCCCTCACATCTCTCCGGACCCTGCCTGACCCTTCTGTTTCAGAGACTGACCACTGCCTGATACTGCCGTGGATTTATGATCTGTGTTCCCTGTTAACATGGCCAAGACTCCACAGTCTATTCACCACAGCTCTGGGCAGTGGTACGGACTGAGTAAATGTCGGGTGAATTCATGAATGGTGGGGTCGACATCAGGTCTCTTGCCTCCATTCATCCTCTTTTACTGAAAATGTGAATATACAAGGCACCAGTGATCTTTGTTGTTTTAGCCTCTCCTTGCTTATCTAGACAAAGCTTATGTCAGATTCCTAGCAGCAGAGAAGCCATTACCTGGTTCACACCCTGGTGAGGTCAGGATGCACAGATAACTTTCAGTCCATAACACTGTTCGTTTTTCCTGTCTTTTCCTCCCCAATGGCATGCACTAGGCAAGTCTGGTTTAAAAAAAAAAAAATCATTAAAATCTAGTATGCTTATTTAAAGTGGACCCAAGAACCGCCTGAGATGGGCTACCACACCTGCGACCTTATTGCCTGAGAGGTAGGGGCAGCAGGAACAGGAGTTCAAGGCCAGAATCAGCTACATAGTTAGCCCTAGGCTAGCCTGAGCCACAAGAGACCCTGCCTCAACCAGAAAAGTCATCACGTCACATTCTTGTTGTTAAATGACATCTCGACCCCATTCACGGCACATTCTTTTGAGGTACAAATAAAATCCTTGGGAACATGACCCACAGGTTGCTGTGTATAGCCAAGGCCATTGCTGTGAAAGCCTGTTTGATGGCTTGTGAGTCACTGGCCTTTTTTGTTTCCTTGCTTGCTCATTTGAGACAGAATCTCATGTAGCCAGGCCAGACTTTAACTGGCTTTGTAGCCAAGGATGACCCAGAACTCCTGATCCTCCTGCCTCTATCTCCAGGTGCTGGTGTTACAGGTGTATTCCACCATGCTCTGATTTCTTGGCACTTTTTTTTTTAGATTTGGTTTTCTTTTTATTTGTGTGTAAGTATATGCTGTGTGTGTACTGGTGCCGGCAGAGGCTAGAAAGGGCATTTGATCTTCTGGAGCTGGAATTACAGGCCATTGTAAACTGCCTAATTTGGGTGCTGGAAGCAGACCTCAGGTCTTCTGGAAGAGCAGCAAACACTATCAACAGCTGAGCCATCTCTCCAGCCCCTCACTTTTTAAAAAATGTATTTTTATTGTCTATATTTAAGGCAGGCAACATAGTGTATTTTTTGTTTGTTTCTGTTTTGAGACAGAGTCTCACTATGTAGCTCTGGCTAACCTGGAATGCTTTATGTAGACCGGGCTAGCCTCAAACTCTCAGAAACCCATCTGCCTCTGCCTCTGGATACTGGGATTAAAGGTGTGGGCCACCACACCCAGCCCCTGCAACATTATGTGGGCCACCACACCCAGCCCCTGCAACATTATGTTTTGATGCATAAGATTATATAGCACAGATAGCAGTTGACAGAAGTTAGCCTGATATTCACAGACTCATCTAAGCCTTAAAAAATAAAAAAATAAGCTGGTGGTGGTGCACACCTTTAATCCCAACATTCAGGAGGCAGAGGCAGGCGGATCTCTGTGAGTTTGAGGCCAGCCTGGTCTACAGAGTGAGTTCTAGGACAGCTCGGGCTACACAGAGAAACCCTGTCTCAAAAAACAAAAACAACAACAACAAAAAAGGGGGGGGCAAAAATAAATAAATAAATAAATGCCAATCTGCTTGAAATTAATTAATTAATTAAAAAAATCATCTAGTCTTGTGACTCAAAAACTGATCAGGCCTCTGGGGACTCCGCAGTGTAGATACTCATATTCTCATTTTGCAGGTCATCTGTACATCCCTTCATGTGCTTTAAGTCATCTTTAGATTATTTAGAATACCCAACACGATTTAAATGCTGTGGAGTAGTTGTCAGAGCACATTGCTCAGTGATAACGACCAGGAAGATATCCGTGTGTGTGGACCGTGGGCTTAGGGCTGGATAAGTGTGACCCTGGTGATTGTGAGTGCTGTGGGACAGACAAAGAGAGCAGAGAAGAGAAGGGACTTCTGAGGAGGCAATGTTTATCTTGCAACTGGAAATATTAGGGCAAGAACATTTGGGCAGGAAATGGGGACGTGTGTTCCCAGGATTAAAAGCAGACCAGTGTGGTTTGACCACAGTGAGTGACTAAGGAAGAGCTGGGCTCACAGCAGAGAAGCCTTGCAAATACCCACAAGACAAACCTTCATTCTCCTGGGACCTTGGAGTTCTGTGTGGAAAGTGGATTGTAGATCCAAGGAGGAAACAGTGAGACTGGAACTGCCCCTAATGACCAGTTGGACCAGGCAGAGTGCTAAAGATGAGGAGGGGAGGAAGTTACAGGAAGTAATCAGGGGCGACAAGAGAAAGGACGCCACCGGAGGGCTTCTGCTGGAGCTGCGACATAGTCAAGGACAGCCCAGCTGTCTCCTGTGTGAGAGGAGTGTGAGCGGACAGCACGGCACACACTTGAACATGATGTCAGTACTAGAATGGTGTGGATGGTGGTGACTTCTCCACAGAGCTGGATAATCAGCAACCATCCAAGACAGTGAGCCAAAGCTGGCCTTTGGCTGTGTGGATGTCATTGTATGCCGAGTCGCCGTCCCCTGGTACCTTCTAGCTTTGTGTTAATGCTCTCATGGTACTTGAGCACTCACACTTAACATATTAATGTTGCACCAGGCATGATAAGTTGCTGTGGTTTTCTGTATCTCCTAGAATTCCAGATTATTTGAGCTATCCATAAATGGTGCCATTCCAGACAAAACACAGAGCCTAGCCAGGGGGAGGAAGGTGTGACTGGAAGAAAGATGTTCAGTTTCTAAGTAGTCAGAGCTGTGTTCCTGTTGTCCACATGCCTGAGTCTAGAGCAGGCACATGCACTTCTCAGTGCGAGACAACATCACGTCCTTATTACCGGAAGTTATAGGTCGCTGTGTGCTAGGATAAAGAACGGAGGAAAGCTAAGAATGTCGGTATCACTCCCCCAGACTGTCAGGGTTCTAGTGATACATCTTAAAGAAGTGTTTGAAGTGCTTCTATCTGTCAGTTCCAACTAAGCTAATTTTAAAAAATTGCTCTTTGTACTCTGCCTTTCTCATGAACCTCTGTGAGTTTAATGCATACAATATGTGGGAGGAAGCCTGTCAGCCTCAGTTCCCATCCCCCAGAGTCTGAGAAATGGATTTTAGAGGTGCATGGTTGCACCTGCAAGGATTTGTTGTTTCATAAAATGGGACCTGAGACCATTTTCAACACGTTTTCTAGGAAAGCATTTGAGGAGGAGGTGAGAGAAGTGCTGTCCCCGCCCTCCATTGCCCTGTTGCGTTGCACCTCAGACAACACAGGAGGACTGTTCCTCATTACCAGGGAATGTGAGTCATTCCCAGATTTGTGTGATTGGGATTCCAAAGCATTGCTGTATCCGATGGCCTTATTAAATCCAAGTGTCAGAGCAGCCTTTCAGACTGTAGGGGAGCGCTCAGTTACAGCTGGTGACCTGGTTCTAGTTACCACACAGAGATGCTGGCGAGAGCAGTGGCCCCCTCCGAGTGCCCAGAACTCCATGTGCATAGCTATTAACAACTGTTCTAGATTTGAGGGTTTCCTGGCTCACTTCATGGGCTCCAGTACACTTCAGCTCCATGTTTATGTCTTCACTGGGACCTGTAGACCTCAAGGGGAAGTGCCCCAGTGACCCAGCAAGCTGTGCCAATGGTACCCAGTGTGGCAGGGTACCTCTTTGCAGACTCATTCAGCCCAGCGGGCCGCCCAGGATCTAGCAAAACACAATCCATTTCTAGCTTGATCCAAACAAAACAAATAAAACATTCACCAGAGAGGGAGGAAACTATAAATGTTGCCAGAAAATTAGTATGCTGTTTTTCCCTTCTTCTAGAGTGTTTCACAGCCAATGGTGCAGATTATAGGGGAACACAGAGCTGGACAGCACTGCAAGGCGGGAAGCCATGTCTGTTCTGGAACGAGACATTCCAGCATCCATACAACACGCTGAAATACCCCAACGGGGAAGGTGGTCTGGGTGAGCATAACTATTGCAGGTAAGATGGGCCGTAGTACTGCAGGATGCGCTCTGGTTCTTCCAGCTCCATCCAGCCCTTCTCATAACTGGCAATACTTTCTCATCTTCTGTTGGCCAACTCAGAGAACCATATCATTCTTTCAAAAATGAATTAATCAGAGCTGGAGAGATGGCTCACCAGTTAAGAATACAGGCTGCTCTTCCAGAGGACCCAGGTTCGATTCCCAGCACCCACATGGCGGCTCCGAATAGTCTGTAACCCCAGTTCTTGGGGGTCTGACATCTTCTGGCTCTGCAGGCACTGCAGATGGTGCACAGACAAACGTGCAGGGAAATAAAAGTACCTAAAACCAATCAGCCTCTTCCTCTGTCGTCTGCCTCTGTTCTCTCTCTCTCTCTCTCTCTCTCTCTCTCTCTCTGTCTCTCTCTCTCTCTCTCTCTCTCTCTCTCTCTCTCTCTCTCTCTCTCTCTCTCTCTCTCTCCAACTTAGTTTGCTTTCATACTGGCTATAAGAGAAGTATCCTGTCTGGTTACCCTCTTGTCTCTTAGGGAGGATTTTCTCAGGCAGTTCCTCCAACCAGTGAGCATTTCATGGGCATCAAAGGTGCTGAAGATGTTCAGACCATCTGGGACCCAAACCTCCCTCTGACACATTATCTAGGCTACACTTGAACTCCTGGGTTCAAGGACCTCCACTCTTCAGCATCCAAGCAGCTGGGCAACAGGCATGCGTCACTCTGGGCTCCAGCAGGGCGCTCTGACCGCACTCCATGGTCTTCAGGGGTAGATTTACGATTTTCTTTGGGAGGTGAGCCACAGCTTTGATCAGGTTCTGAGATTGAAGACAATTGGGAATTACTAGATGGCCCGATGGTTAAGGTGCTTCCTGTGCAGAAGTGAGGTAGAGTTGGGATCCTGAGAACCCAAGTAAATGGTGGTTGTTGTGAAAGCCCACCTGCCATTCTGGTGCTCAGAAGGCAGGGCTGAAATTCTAGGAGCATGCTGGCCACCTACACCAGCCATATTGACTAGCTTGGGTTCAGTAAGAGAAACTGTCTCAATGAATAGTGTGGAGATTAATGGAGAAAGCTTCCAAAGTCAACCTCATACCACACATATAAGCACACACATTTGAACACATACATATCTGTACACACACACACACACACACACACACACACACACACACACACACACACAGGAATAGACAGAAAGATAAAAATAGAATTACAAGCTTTTAGAAACCAGAGCAAAAATTCCAAGGGCCTTGTTTATACCTTTCAGCTACTTACACCCAAGATGGTGATAACATGACTCATGGTTCAGCAATGTGTTGAATTTAATCGTTCTCGGGACAGGTGCACAGACTGCCTCTTACGCCCTTAGGACAAGAAAGAATGACTGCAGAGTCCTACTCTGCGTTCCACACTGACTCTGGTACATGAACATCCTAACCATAGCGAACTGTTGACCCAGCTGAGCCAACACATATATGTCTGCATTGTGTGGGCCACTCTGTCTGCCTTCCACCCTCCACGTACCCAAGCTAACTCTCCAGGCCTGTGTGACTGTCTTGACGTCACGTCACCAGGCTTGGAGTCCGTGTCTGTTGCTCTTTCCCTCACCTCTGTCCTAACTCGCCTCGCCTGGCTCTCCCCAGGTTTGCTCTTGCTGTTGTTTTCCTTTGTCATTGTAAAAGCATTGAAAGTTTGCTACAGGCCAGCCATGGTTGTGCGCATACCTGTAATCTCAGTACTTGAGAGGTCAGGGGAAGGAGATCAAGAGTCCAAGGTCGTCCTTGGCCACTTAGTGAGTGCAGGCCAGCTTGGGCTTCATACGATCCTGCCTCCAAAACCTGAGGCAGACAAGGAAAAGCTTCACTCAGTGTTTGGACAGCCCTGCTGCTGTGCTCCGCCCTGAGCCCTGCCGGCAAGCCTCAGGTAGGGTGTGCGCTGTCTTTGCCCTCGGCTGTCGTTTGCATCTTTTAAAGATGTATTTTATCACTTTAAATTGTGTGTGTATGTGTGTGGGGGGGTCTGTACACGAGTGCAGGCGCCACAGAAGGTAGAAGTGTCCAGTCCCCTGTAGCTGGAGTTATAGAGGGCTGCGATCTACCCGAGATGGATCTGGGAACTGGACTGCAGATCACCGCAAGAGCGGTGTGTGCTCTGACTACTGAGCCACCCTCTCGTCGCTGTCCTTTGTGCTTTGTTGTTAGGGCTACTTATGCTTTAATCAGTTCTTGGCTTATTTTCAAAGGTGTCTATACTAATATTTTGTATAAATCAAAACTTGCAGTCTGCTAAGGTGGTTTAGTGGGGAAAGGTGCTTGCTGCCATGCCTGATGACCTAAGTTCAATATCCCGAACCCAGTGGTAGAAAGAGAGAACCAAATCCCACAAGCTCTATATGTGTGCCATGGCACATGCTCCCTACACAAGTGTACATGCACTTACATGTGAATAAGTAAGTGAATGTTTTTTAAAAATGCTAGGGAGCTAGCTTGGTAAAGTGCTTCCCAAGGAACTGGGTTTGGTTTCCCAGAACCCACATTAAAGCTCTGTGCCTGGTGGTGGTACACAGTTTTGATCCTAGTACTTGGGAGGCAGAGGCAGGTGGATCTCTGAGTTCGAGGCCAGCCTGGGCTACAGAGTGAGTTCCAGGACAATGAGGGCTACACAGAGAAACCCTGTCTTGAAAAACAAACAAACAAAAAACCCCAAAACGAAAAAGTTCTGCATGGTGTTGCTCTTATAATCCCAACAGTGGGAAGCCAGCTTGGGCTGATCCCTGGAACTTCTGACTTGCCACTAGGCAAGTTTCAGGCCAGTGAGAAACCCTGTCTCAAAATTAAAAAAAAAAAAAAGATTAACTACACCTAAAGAATGGCACCCAAGGTTGACCTCTGGTCTCCAAATGTACACTCCTGCACAAGCATACACATGAGCATGCACTCACACACACTCATGAACATGGACTCACTCAAACATGTGTGTATGCACACATATGAACATGCATGCATACATGAGCACACATTCATGAACGTGCACAGACAGGTGAACACGCATGCACACACTTATCCCCACTCTGACACTCCATTTCTCTTCTGTCCCCAGTCCTCTAATTTTCTGTTCACGGGTGGTGGGCTGGGAAGGAGCTCAGGTGGAGCAGTGAGCAGGGGTTTTGTTGTCATCCGCAGTTTTTGTCCTGGTTTTCTCATAGGGCTGCTTGTTGTCTCCTAAGGTGTTTTTGCTTTGCTTTGCTTTGCAATGCTGGGAAATGCTCTGCTACTGTGCTGTCCCTGAGGTATCTCCTGGTAGCTCAGTTTACCCTGTTTCTCTCTAAACATTCTCAAGTTGCAGAAGAGCTATTTTAAATTTGACTTTAAGGTAAACTTTAAATTTCCAGTGAGAGGGGAAAAAAATTTCTACTAGATGCATGCACATGTCTAACTCCCAGGCTTGCAGGAGTGCATCCATAAGCATACCAAAGGGCTGTACCTGAGGCTGTGAGCACCTTCCCCCAGTACCTTCCCCCTTAACTCCCTGGGCTACAGCCCTCTGGTTTGATGGAATGTACCAGACCTGAATTACCAGTTTATACTTCAAAAGGAGAGAGGCTGAACCTCTCATGTTGATGATATCACATCAGAGTCCAGGCTCTTTGCTTTAGTGCTGCAGAGAAGGAAGGATGGGTCTGCCTGCTCTTTGTTAAGCTATTCGGATGCTTTTCAGAATGGCTTTGACATTGATAATAAACACTTGTTGTCTAGGGGTTTTATCCAATACTACATCAAAGCTGAACTCGGAACAGAGGGAGGAAGATGACTGAAATACTGTCTAAAGAAGAGCTTTGTACAAGCCCTGGTACTTTGACTTCTCAGCTGACATCCGACACCGTGTTTGTCTTGTACGACTTTTCAGATCCATCTCATCTGAGATGCCTACCCGCTATCGAGTGATGGGAACAGGCTTCTGGCTGGGCCTGAAGTATCTGGATTAGAGGGGGAGGCAGAGCCAGGGAAGAGCAGAGTTGTCACTCACACCTGCCTTTGGGCACAAGAAGAAAAGAATCCTTTGTGCCTGGGAAGCTTATCTTCTAGGACACACAATGGGCTTGTCCGCTCAGGCCCAGAGGCTTGCTGCGGAGCTCCGCTGGGGTGGGGGGGGTGGGGGGGTGTCCTCATGCCCATTTCCTGCCTAACTGGAGTGTCAGGTTTCCAGTATTCTGAGTCTAAATAAAGGGGGCTTGGAAAGGGGTGAAGAGAGGCGGCTTGTCTCTCCTAGCTGCCCCTATCATTATTGACCTGCTTCATAGGCATCTCGATTTATTATCATGACGTCTCTGCACCAAAATGACCTTGAAAGTCATTTACTTCAAGCTGCTCTCACTTGGAAATATGGAAATAAATCTTTAAAAAACATGATTGTCGCCGGGCGGTGGTGGCGCATGCCTTTAATCCCAGCACTCGGGAGGCAGAGCCAGGCGGATCTCTGCGAGTTCGAGGCCAGCCTGGGCTACCAAGTGAGTTCCAGGAAAGGCGCAAAGCTACACAGAGAAACCCTGTCTCGAAAAACCAAAAAAAAACAAAAACAAACAAACAAAAAAAAAACATGATTGTCATGTTGGAAGTCAGTGTCCTGACTGAGAGGCCTCTGGAGTCTGTGTGGTAAGAGAGAGTTGGTACCACCTCTGTCTTGCATGTGTGAGTTAGCCAGCCTTGAATTCGAGTAGACTTGCCAGCCAACCTTGTGTTAGGTGAATTTATTTAGTTGTTTAGAAACTATACACTTGGAATATTCATTATTGAAGAAGGCAGAAACTAAAATCAGAAAAGAAAAAACAAACTAAAATTGCCAATAATCTTAACGCCTAGGAATAAACTGTTTTAAGATCTGAGATTAAACCCTACCTTAAATATACCTTTTCCAAGCTCAGAGGAATCTTATTATCTGTGGTTTTATTATTTTGTTTGTTTGCTTGAGACAGGGTCCTATTATGTACCCCAGGCTGACCTAGAACTTGTAGTAATCCTCCTGCCTCAGTTTCTTGAGTGTTGAAGTTTTAGGCATGAGCCACTGTGGCCGGCTTATGTTTTCCTTCTTGATGAGAGGTGACATTGAAATGCACAGCATTTATTAGAAATGATAGGGAACTCAATGTTGTAAAACTAAATGAGCCAGGTGACTTGAAACACAACAGTGTCATCAGTGTGTCCTTATTCCCAACAGAAATCCAGACGGAGATGTGAGCCCCTGGTGCTACGTGGCGGAACATGAGGACGGTGTCTACTGGAAGTACTGTGATATTCCTGCCTGCCAGAGTAAGGCTGACACACCCTCTGATGGCTTGGGGACTGAGTATTAAGCTCAGAGCAGAAGGCACTCACTGCCCAGGGTTGTTAGCTCCTGTTGCTGCCTTTCAGTAGTGAGTGCAGCGGGAAGTGTCATGGGCTATGGGCTTCCTCTTCTCTTGTTGAGTTCTTAAGCACTAGGAATGCCCAGTTTTTTGGCCTCAGTTTCTCTGAAAAAAATGATAGAAACTGGTTACATAGCACCCACAGCTCTTTAATTCACGGTGTCTATTGTGTTTTTAATGATGACTCATAGCTCAGTCTCTTCAACCTTTTGTGTTTATGTATGTGTGTGTTCATATGTGTGCAGGTATGTATAGGTGCATGTGCACATACATGCTTTATGTGTGGAGGCTGAAGGTCAACCTTGGGTGTTGTTCCTCAGGAACCATCCACCTTGTTTGCTGAGCCTGCATCTCTAACTGGAACCTGGGACTGATGGGTTAGGCAAGGCCATCTGGGCAGAGCCCTAGAGATCCTCTTGTCTCCGTTTTTCTAACTCAGGGCTTAGAAGCCTTTGTGGCCACGCCCGGCTCTTTACATGGGTGCTGGAGACAAACCGGCGGCCCCTAGGACTGTGCGGCAAGCACCTGACCCTGAGCTCTCTGCAGGCCTTCTGTAGCCGCTTAGCAGACCTGCCTCCTGCGTCTCAGTCGTTCTCTTCCATGCTCAGTGCTTACGTCCTGATGTAAAGGCAGGAGGACGCCCGATCCTCAGGAGAACTGCAGTGCTAACTGAGTCTCGTTCTGGGGGTTGGAACTGCTGTTCTTCTGCCTGCCCATTTTTCCTGTGAAGCTGTCGGGGTAGCACAGACCTGTAATCCTACACTCTGAACACTGAAGCAGGAAGAGATTGAATTCCAGGCTCCTGGGGAGGACCTGAGTTCCATTCCCAGCACCCCATCAAGTGGCTCACAACTGCCCAGCTCCTCCAGCTTCAGAGGATCCAATGCTGGAACTTCATAGCACCTGCACTCAGAAGTATACATACCCACAGGCACATGCACACATAACTTCAAAATAAATAAACCTCGTGTGTGTGTGTGTGTGTGTGTGTGTGTGTGTGTGTGTATTGTTTTGTTCTGCAACAGGGTCTCATTATGTAGCTCTGGCTGTCCTGGAACTCACTCTGTAGACCAGGCTGGCCTTAAACTCACAGAGATCCACCTGCCCCTGTCTCTGCCCAGCCACTTATTATAACCTGCTCCTCGCCCTGCTTCCCTGTCCTTGGGTCAGGAAGCTTGTGTTTGTACTGTGATGTGGAGGTCTTTCAGGGACCTGGGATCCCCCTCCCTCTGGCCTAGGACAGTCCTGTGGGCCCACTGTTCCCACTGTCACCGTCCCCAGCCTGAGTTCACTTTAATGCAGGTCTCCAATTGGAGAACAGTAAAGACCAGAAGAATGGACTCTGCTCAGTCTGCACAGCCAGATTCTTAAAATGATGAAACATGTCATTTGGCGGCGTCTGTAGAGAAGGGCAGAGAGGAAAGCGAGTTTCCCTCGGTTCATTTGTTCTACACAAAGATAGCCTTTTCCTCAAGGGCTATGCCATTCTCTCAGGAAGGACACAGGGGAGTTCAATCTGGACACTTTGGTTTGGAAAGATCATGTTCAGCCCACATTTATAAAGTATAATTTGGTCCAATAGGAGCTGACTCGTGTAGTCATTGAAACTAGATTCGGGAAGAGAAAATTGTGGCAAAATCCAGCTAATATATCTCTAACATTCCCAGAGTTCTTTTTGTCTGTTTTTTTATTGTTTTGTTTTTGGTTTTTGAGACAGGATTTCTCTGTGTATCCCTGGCTGTCCTGGAACTCACTCTGTAGACCAGGCTGGCCTTGAACTCACAGAGATCTGCCTGACTCTGCCTCCCGAGTGCTGGAATTAAAGGCATGTGCTACTACCTCCCAGCTACTTCCCCACAGTTCTAAAAACAAAGTGTAAATACCATTTCCATCCTCCTGGTCCTTTGATAGCCTTCTCAAATGGTCAGGGTATGGAGGTCAGGGTTAGAGTGGTAGAAAGGAGGAGTCAGTGGTCCTGAGGTAGGAGGTGGAGGGTGGGCCGAACCTGGATTTGGCTCTTTGGAAAATCCTCCATTTCTCTCTATTGTATCAAACCTCCTTGTCAAGACAAAGCCCTGGCCTCAATCAAGCCTCAAATGTGCTTATTAACATGGCTGAAGAAAAGGCCATGTGCGGTTTGTAGCAGGAGACATGGGTAGTGGCCTGTGTCTTTAACAGAGATACAGCTTGCCCCTTTAAGGCCACATTTGTCTTATTTCTGAATGTGGAGTCACTGTTTTTACAAATAATACCAGCCTCTGTAAAACTTGCGTATTCATGATGAGCCCTGGACTTGTCATACAGGAAAAGGCCTGTAACATGATCAGGTTCCTGGAAAGTTCATCTCTGAATATAACAGGCCCCACAGGAGCAGGGGAGTGAAAGTCTGGGGACAGAGGGAATGGTGAGCCATTGTGTGAAGACCCGAGTCTCTGCCCCTTGGTGTGCTCTGAGCAGGGCTGCTGCAGCAGGAGGTGGAGATGGCGTGGGCGTCAGAGGAGAAAGGAGACAGCCCTCAACTCTGTAGAGCTTGGGTCAGAACTTACTTTTAAAGGACAGTACCTCAGAGGTCATTAGATTTGCCCCCCACTCCCACCAACTCCTTCTGCCACTATGTCTCTCAGAGCCCCATGTTCTTACGGCTTCCGAGAGATAAGACCTTACAAAGATTCATCCCAGGCTGTCAGATCGTGAGGGGAGCTCTGGGCCTGGTGTCCCTTACCTCTCTCTCTTACGGTAACGAATCCTCCTTTTGTGTCATAGCTTTTGAGGGACAAGCTTGTGTAGTTTCTAATATGGCTTTTAATTCACTCTCTTTTGCCAGTGGATTTCTTTTTCTTTTGAGATAGAGTCTTACTATTTAGCCCAGGCTGGACTAGAACTCACAACCCTGTGCCTCAGCCTTCTGAATTCTGGGATTACAGGCATATGCCACACTCCAAATTTAGGATTTTAAAAGTAAATAATGTAATTTTTGAGTGGGGAAATGGTCTGAAAACACCGATTAAAGGCAGATACAGGGCTCAGGAGATGTGAAACAGGTAACAGCACCTGTGGACTGGTGACCTGAGTCTGAGCCTCAGGACCCTAATGACCCTGAGGAGAGAACTGCTTCCCACACGTGCTCCCCTCCTCCGGAAATAAATGTTATTAAAACAGACTTTTAAAGATATTATTTTATTTTAATTACCTATGTGAAGATATGTGTGTACATGTGTGTAAGTGCCCCATCTCTCTGAGCCTTAGGTGGTATGAGCCGTCTTATGTGCATGCCAGGATCTGAACTCAGGTCCTCGGGAAGCTCAGTATGTGCTCTTAACCACTGGACCATCTCTCCAGCCCTTTAAAAAAAATTCAAAGTCAGATAGAGTTTTCTGCATCCAGCTGATTTGGGTCTGAGGCCCCAGGCATGAAAAACTTACTTTCTCATTTCTGAGAGCTAATTATTTTTTATCTACCCAAAACGTTCACCTATAAATCTAGCTATGAAAATTCATCTTTGAATTAGAGAAATTTGAAAGAGTGAATCCGATGATATTAATAAATTTCTATTTAACTTTAGTAATTAAAGCAATGGGATGGTGGTTTGTGTCTCCTAGGCTGGTCTTGATCACTGGGATCGGGTTACCCATGTCAGCCTCCTGCATAGACGGGACTATAGGTCAGAGGACAGTTTCCATGGTCATTTCCCTCTTTAGACCATGTGATGGGTCCTGGGGATCAAATTCAGGCTCAGCTGCAAGTTGCCTTAACTCACTGAACCAGCTCTTGAAAGCGCTTTTTCTTTTTAAAGACAAGTTTTTACTTTGTAGCTCTTGCTGGGCTAGAGCTCCCTATATAGAACAAGCTAGCCTTGAACTCACTGCTTCTGCCTCACAAATGCTGGTGGTGTGTGCCACCATGCCCAGCATATTATTTTTTAAGTAAAGTTTCACACCTTATAAGACCTTAAGTATTTAAACGTATGCATGTCTACCACTCAGAATATCTGGATTGAATGTGCAGCATGAAATCAGCACAAGGCCTCTCTCACATGTTGGCCAGCAGCCTACTACCCAGCAGCGTCCCTGACTCCTGCAGCTCTTTCCATTAGCCTGTCGGTGCCTGATGTTGTTGTTAAAGTTTGTTATTAAGGCTTTAATTAAGCTTATTACAACTCTTAATTATTACCTAAAGTTGTGAAAACTATTCATTATTGAAGTAGTTATTAAAATTAATTGTTAAAGTTTCAAATCATAAGAACTTTAGGAGCCAGCAAGATGGCTCAGTGCATAAGAGTGATTGCAACAAAGCCTGATGACCTGAGTTTGCTCCTTAGCGTTCACAGTTCAGGACAGACCATCTCCTGCCACTCGCCCTCTGGCCTCCGTGCTTGCTGTGGCATGCTGGCTGGCCCACATGCATGCATGCATACACAGACAAATAAATAATAAAATTAAAAGAACTGTAAGAATTGTTAGCTGCGACAAGTAGTACTTATTTCTTCCCTTTTTATGTGGATGGTGCTGGAGGTAGAGTCCAGGGCCTTGACACATGCTCGGAGAGCACTCTACAAGCGAGTTGCACTCCCAGTCCCTAGTTCTTAGACTGACTCTACACAAGGTCTTGTACCCAGATGTGGTCTGTGGTCTGTGGAAGCTGCAGTTTAAGATAGAAGACTGGCACATGAACAGATGAGCATATACACAGTGCTCTGTAGAAATAAGGTTGACAAAAGTCACAAACATGAAAGAGGTATGTGCCAGATGTTGGAGGAGGTTGGGTCTCTGGTGGTCAGCAGAACTCTAAGTAGTAAGGCTCTAGATCAGCAGTTTCTTAGCCTGTGAGTCAAGACCCCTTTGGGGGTAGAACGACCCTTTCACAGGGGTCACCTAAGACCATCAGAAAGCATAGATATTTATATAA